TCCTCACCTGCCCATCCTCACCTGCCCTTCCTCACCTGCCCATCCTCACCTGCCCTTCCTCACCTGACCTTCCTCACCTGACCTTCCTCACCTGTCCCTCCTTACCTACCCGGGCCTTTTCCTTTTCAACCTTCTCTTCTACTTCCCTCGTCTGTCTTCTCCCCACTCTCTTTTGCAGCTTTTCGAAACCCCGCTCCTCCTTTCTTCTCCACTCTTTTCTGGTATTCATGGAACTTTGGATCGGGGGGCACCGTGCAGATCATTCACCTTGATTTTTAGAAGGGACCTGGGACTGCGCAGGCAACAGGCAGATCCAGCTGTCAGGACCCGCAGCCCCCTGGCTTTTCCAGCTCATGTGATAAGACTCCCCTTTGCGCAGTGCTGGGCAGCCTTAGAAGAGTGTTGTCCGCAGAGCAGCGGATGCAGTCTCTCCTGTATCTCCTCCTTAAGCTCCTGGCACCTTAAGGTAGATCACATGAGCCTAGGCGCATAAACGGCTGGGACGTCCTTGCCGTCTGCTCCCCTGCTGTGAGCCTGGACTGCACCCAGTCTCCAAGGAAAATAGCAGCCTGATTTCCTTAAAAATTGGCAATGAAGGACATTTTATAACTTTTTGAAATTTGTATAAATTTTTGGTATTACGTCAATGTTCCGCAAGCTCCGTAATCAAGAATTTCTTACCATCTAACCTAAATCTCTCTTGCTGAAGGGCTTTTTGTTTTTTTCAGAGAGTGTCTCACTCTGTAACCCAGGCTGGAGTGCAGTGGTGCCATCTTGGCTCACTACAGCCGTGACCTCCTGGGCTCCAGCAATTCCCCCATCTCAGCCTCCCAAGTTGCTGGGACTACAGGTGTGTGCCACTACACCTGGCTAATTTCTTCTTTATTTTTTTGTAGAGACAAAAATCTCACTATATTGCCCTGGCTCGTCTCAAACTCCTGGGCTCAAGTGATCAGGTACAGGACCCTTACGACTCCCGGTTTGCCTCCGCAGCGCTGGCACTGAGCCAGTGTCCTGCCCTCCAGTGATGGCAAATGGTGTTTTCTTTCTTGCGTTATTTACTCATGTTTTACAATAGGTTGCAGCCATATGGTTTCAGATTCTCAGTTTCCGGGAGGAGGTGCCCACTTCCTTCTGATACACACCCATCCACCATTTCTGGTACAAGGCCTCAGGTCTCACCCAGACTTCCTTATCAGGAGTCAGCCAGTCTCCCACAGGAAACGTTCTTAAGCTGGAGCAGCTGGTTCCTGCTGGCCGAATGCACTTTCAGTGGAGAAGGCTCCTTGCCGAATGAACTCACGAGCCCTGCTGCATGTGCTCACATCCATTCCCCGGGGAAATGGAGTTTTCCCTCTTGTTTATACTGAATCTGTTGAGCAGAATCGTCTGTGCCACCCACACCCGTGGTGTCAGCCACATGTTGGGAGCAGTAGCAAGACACCCCCACCCCTCCCAGCCAAGGTCGTGTCTGTAGAGAGGTGTAGGGAGTAGGAACTCTCATCCCCACCCATCGATGATTAGGAGCCCTCCCTCTCCATGGGTGTCAACAGAAGCCAAGTGGGGAATGCATACTTCTGTCCTCACTGCTAGCACTGAGGTGGCCTCCTTCTCTCCCCTGCCATAGCAGGGCCAGAGGAAGTCAGCCACAGCAGAGCCAGCATCTCTTACGATAGGTTGTAGCCATTGTGGTTTTAAACTCTCAGTTTCTGGGAGGAGGTCTTTTGTGCTGGCCCACATCTTTCTGACAGAATGTCTAGGTTTCCATGGAAATCAGCCCTCATACCAAGAGCCAGAAAGGTTTCAAATCCGGTGAAAAGGACAGTGAATGGCCACTGACACCAACACTAAGATGATAGTAATGTCAAAATTATTGGGCACAGATTTCAAAAGAACCATTGTAAAAATGCTTCAGTGGACAATTACAAACCTGCTTAAACAGATGAAAAAATAGTCTGAGCAAAGAAATAGAAGCTATAAAATAAAACCATGGAAATTTTAGATGTAAAAATACAATAAATGGGAAACACAATGGCTGGGTTCAGTGGAAGACGGAGTGGACATATAAAAGAGGCAGTGAACTGGAAGGTAAAATAGTAGAGGAGAAACATGACGAGTAAAATGTGAGTCAATGTGATAGACTTTCCTTCTCTGCATGAGTTTTCTGAATCACCTAATGGTGAGAGGAAAGACTGTGAAAATTCCTGATGTGGTTCTAAGGCAGGAAGAGGAAATGTTTAAGGCCATTATTATAAATGGGATGTGGGGCATGTAAAGGAAAGTGATGGATCTATGCTTCTCTTGAACTGGTAAAATAACACCAGCGGACCTGATAGGTTATGTGTATATAATACAATACCTAGAACAGATACAAGAAAACACAATAGATAAATCAAAAGAGAATTGTGAAATAGTGAAGTAATCCACAGGGAAATATGAAAAAGAAAACAGAAATAAAGAACAAAGAACAGAAAACAGTACAAAATGAAAGATTAAAGTCTTCACATACAAATAATTTTAGTAGGTGTAAATTGTGTAAACAAAACAAAAATCAATTTAAAACAGAGATTGACAGAGTGGGTTTAAAAACATGACCCAATGATATGCAGTCCATAAGAAAGTCTGACAAGCTCAACAAAGTTAAGAAGAGTGAAGACCCACATTACCAACATCTGGAACGAAACAGAGGATATTACTGCATACCCTGCAGACATCTAAAGTGTGAGAAGGGAACACTGCCAACAACTCTCCACGCACATTTGACAGCCCAGATCAACTGGACCAATTTCTTGGAAAATGCGAACTACCACAACTCATCCAGTGTGAAATAGATCATGCGAATAGTCCTGTAACTGTTAATAAAATTGAATTTGTAAATTAAAAATTCCTGAAAAAGAAATCACCAGGCCCAGATAGTTTCACTGGAGAACTTCTAAACAACTAAACCTCTGAGTACATGTCTAAGGTGGAATTAACACCAATCTATACTGTCTTTTTTTCCTCCATTTTCCAAAAAATGGAAGAGGAGGGAACATTTTCTAATTCATTTTATAAACCTAGTATTATTCTGATAACAAAACCAGTCAAAGCACTACAAAAAAGGGAAGCTATAGACCAATATCCTTCATGGATATACATTAAAATCTTATTAAATATTAGCAAATAGAAGTCAGCAATATGTAAAAGAATTATACCCATGGCCAAGTGGAGTTTATTCCAGGGATGAAAAGATGATTCAGTGTTTAAGTTCAATCAATGTAAACACTATATTGACAGGCTAAAGAAAAATTACATAATCATATCAATTGATGCAGAAAAACTTTTAAAATAACACCTGTTTTTGATAAAAATTCTCAGAAAATAGGAATAAAGGGCAAGTTTCTTGACTTGATAAAGATATCTATAAAAACCTATAGCTAACTTATGCTTAATGGTAAAAGACTGAATGTTCTTTGCCTCAGATGGAGAACAAGGCAAAAGTTTTCACTTTCATCATTCTTATTCAACATATAACTGGAAACCCTGGCCCCTGCAGTAGGTAAGAAAAGGAAATAAAATGCATATCCAGAAAGGAAGAATAAGACTGCCCCTATTTGCAAATTACATGATTATATACACAGAAAATCCCAAAAAATCTACCAAAAAACAAAACAAAACAAACAACAAAAGAACTTAGAACTAATAAATGAATTCAGCAAGATTGCAAGACATAAGATAAACATACACAATCAATACACTAGCAAGACACATGAACATCAAAATTAAACATAGAATATAATACCCTTTACAATTGTTCAACAAAATGAAATACTCAGGTATAAGTCTAGCAACACACAAATGGAACTTTAGGTATAAGTCTAGCAACACATGTATAGAACTATAATGCTGAAGACTACAAAAGGCAAATAAAAGAAATAAACAATGTAAATAAATGGAGAGATGCATCATGTTCATTTATTGAAACAATTAGCTTATTAAAAATGTCAGTTCTCCCCAAATTGATATAAAAATTTGAGATTAAGCATAACTCTTATCAGAATCCCAATAATTTAAAAAATATATATACGAGATTATTCTAAAATTTATACAGAAAGTCAAGGGAACTAGAATAGGTAAAATTATTTGGAAAAGAAGAATAATGTGGGAAAAATCTATCCACCTGATTTCAAGACATGTTACATAGCAATAGTAATTGACACTTTGTGGTATTGGTGGAGGGATATTTACCTAGATCAGTGGAGCAGAACAGAGAACCCAGAAATAAATCCACAGAAAAATTCCTGATTAACTTGTGACAGAGGTTCAAAAGTGATTCAGTAAATATAGCCTTTTCAACAAACAATAAAACATCCATAAGCCAAAAAAAAAAAAGAATCTTGACCTAATCCACACTTTATGCAAAAATTAAAATGGATCATGAATTAAATGTAAAACTATAAACATTACAAAAATAACAGGAGAAGTCTGGGTGTGGTGGCTAATGCCAGTAATTCCAGCACTTTAGGAGGCTGAGGCGGATAGGATTACTTGAGCTCAGGAGTTTGAGACCAGCCTGAGCAACATAGTGAGATCTTGTCTCTATGAAAAGGAAAAAAGGCAGCCAGGCACTGTGGTGTACACATGGAGTCCCAGCTACGCAGGAGACTGGGGTGGGAGGATTGCTTGAGCTTAGGAGATCAAGGCTGCAATGAGCTGATATTGAGGCTGCAGTAAACCATGATCACATAATTGCACTGGTGTTGACTGGGTGACAGAGCAAGACCCTGTCTTATAATAAATAAATAATAACAGAAGAAAATCTTTGA